CACCAGGTGAAGCATGTACGACATACTTCTTTGTGTTTTTTCTGAGCTTATGAAATATGGTGTTCTTGTCTTATCTTATAATCTCATATCACATCATATCATATATCATATCGTATATCATGTCATATATCATATCATATATCATATATCATATATCATATCATATATCATATCATATATCATATCATATATCATATCATATAACGTATCATACATCATATATCATCATATCATATATCACATCATATATCATATCATATATCATAGCAATTCATATAAGATCATATCAAACCTTATCAGATCTTATCATATCATCCATCATATAGTATATAATATTGGCAAACAGCATCATCAATGTTGTTTCTTTAACAAAAAAACGTCATCACCATCACCATCACCATCATCGTCATCATCATCATCATCATCATCCTCCGTATCCATCGTTGTCGCAACTACTTTCATAGATACAAAAAAAAATACTGATGAAATCAGCATTGTTTGCTTGCAAAAAAAAAACGTTTAATTAACGTGGAACACCATGGAACACACAATAATGAACAATCCCATTAATCAACCAATCGACCAACCATTGGAAGCTTTTATACTTCGTCCCATAACAAATTGGGTGCCCAGGAAATAAACCCCAATCGGGGATGGTCCTAATTTCTTCCGCTTTTTGTTGAACAAATATGATTGGAATTATTTTTTGGTATTACCACAATATCATTAAATTTAGTTAAACTGATTAAGCCAAAAAACAAACACAACTTAACATATTTGATGAGTAAGCAATAGTATTACCACACATGTCTGGGTGTATTTGTCTATCGCATGAAGACTAAACACACCATGTCATCTGATATTTGCTTAAGATGGTCCAAGAAACACAAGACTAAAAAGATTCCCCAGCCCTAGAGAATTGATGGGAAAATCATGGGAAAATCCACAAAAAAACACCTTGAAACGATCATCAAATCGAAGTCATGACCACCCCACCGTTGTCACCTCCGGATGAAAAGCCAAGGTGCCGGTGCAGCGTGTGGCCACCTTCGTCACCAGGCTGAGACTCGCGGCTTCCGCTGCCGTGGGGTTGTGAGACATGCGCAGCGCCGTCTGGGCGGGTGCATGGTCGAACATGGATGGAGAATTCTGTGGAAAATGGAAAACCACATAGTAAATGATAGTTGACCTGGTTGGTGGTTTCAACCCCTCTGAAAAGCATGAAAGTCAGTTGGGATGATTATTCCCAATATGGAAAAATAAAATTCCTGTTCCAAACCACCAACCAGTAACATTATGTAACATTGTGATCTGGAAATGTATAATTTGAAGAACCCGTGATTACACGTGATACATATTGCATTATATCATTTACTGCCATATTCAATCCCCAACTATCGCAGGGCAGAAAAAAAAAATCCGTTCATATCATGCACCACGTTTTGTCTGAAATGCCCCAAAATCCCTTGGTGATTCCTGAAACAAGGTGATTTTGGAGCAGTGAAAGTAATAACAGAGTGATAAGTGACTAACTATTGGTTTATCCCGAAATCACTGTTGTTGTTCTATATATTTTTTCGCAATTGAAACAGGGATTTTGGTGGTATAATTATGTATACGTCGCATTTTCAGACATTTTTCCCCCATTGGGGCCGGGTGACCTGTTCCTCTTCATGGAGATTCATCACATCAGGCGCTAGCTTGGTCAAGAGTTCCACCAGAAGAGCCAGGTCCAACTCATTGAGGTTCAACAGTCCTGGTGACTCAACGAGGCCCAGAAAGTGGTGTCGCACCGGGGATTCCCCGGTGCAGGTCCTGAAAGCAATCCAATGAACATGGTGATGTAAAGAATCATATTTTATGATATTTTATGGAGATCTGGAGGGCTGGGAGATGCAACCAGGAGATTTTTCACTGGGAGAAGTTCCGAAAAAAAACGGAATCAGTGAGAAAGGGGAAATGCTTTGGGAATGGGCAGCATCAACGCAAATTTTTTTGGATTCAAGCAGCAATGATGGGGTGGTAAGCACCAAAAGGGTGGTACAACAAACACTCACCAACGTTCTTGGAATGTTGGGAACCTATTGGCAAGGCCCATGTCCTATCTTCTTTGGCGATGCTTGGATTAATTTCATTATAATTAAGTTTTTAGATGTTTCTAGATGTTTTTAGTCTATCATACACCTTCATGGTTTATTGATCTAAGTAACCAACATTCACCAACGTAGTATGGCGCCATAAACCCAGCCATATGGATTGATGTCCTGCGTCCGGATCTCTACGAAATGCCTTGAGGTGAAAATTCACCCAGCGCAGGAGGAGTTCATGCGCCGGCAACGCTAGCAGGGTCGGGGCCGCCTGGAGTTGGAGTCTCAGGAGATTTCTGCTGGGGCTCCTGGTAACAAAACCGCAGACTACTGTGACTCCGGCGTGTCTGTATGATCATGCCTATACATAGCCCATAGGATCCATGTATGGTATATATATGGTGACATTTACCATCAATATACCCCAAATGTCAGCATATATACCATACATGGATCCTATGGGTAGAGTATCTATATCCACGCAGATGACATCCGATGTTTTTGTTCTTGCCATGTGTCCAGGAGCACCAATATATCAACGCAGGGTCCTGGACTCCCATGTTCTCAGCTGCGAAAAAAAACTGTCACAGGCAAGATGCCAAATGGATCCAGAATTTATTGGTCTTTCCTGAATAGTTCCTATAAACAAATCCATGTTGGGTCATTTATAACTTTAAACCATGTCCTTTTTTCAAGGGATAGAAACATAAAGAATAATTTTGTCACTATTTTAGGATTGGATTTGACTTTTCTGCGTCTTCTTTGGGGTGGCTATAATTCACTAACCTGAAATAAAGACATTTGGGCATGATTCCCCCAATCTTAACCATGATTCCAGTGAGGTCACAATGAGGTAACTAAAATTAATATCATTTACCTAGCAGTACGTGGGTGTGGTGACTTGTGCCAACCTGTCCCCCTTCCATCCTCATCCTCCTTGAGCAAAAGCGCAAAATCCTGCGCCGTCATGGAGGGAGAGACAAATCGGAGGCGTCTTAAACACCGAAAATAAGGTTTCTACCAACAAACATGTTGAAGTTTCCTCATCAAAAATGGATGATTTGACCCAGAAACACGACATTTTCTGGGTAACTTTGTCGAAATGCAGCTCTTAATCTTAACAGGTCTGGTGTCTCCCTAGTTTTTTTTTCCCTTGAAAATCCCATGAAAATATATGGTTGGTGGTTAATAACCATCTTGAAAAATATGAGTTCGTCAGTTGGGCTTACGACATTCCCGACTGTTCATGGAAAGTCATTCAAAATTCCATGGTTCCAGTCACCACCAACCAGTCATATCATTTCTCCAGAGCTTTCCCAGGTCCCAGTGGTCCCAGAAACCCGATTTGTCACGTACGAAAAAGCGCCTGCGGATGTTCCACGGCCCAGGGGCCGGCCATGGCTTCGATCTGTTGGAAGATGGATTTCACCACGGGGTCTGCCATCCTCGGCGCGGGTCTGCCATTGTTGGGGAATTTCTTGTGCTTAAAACATCTTGAAACAACCAATGGTAATATATCATCCAATATTTATATCATAATATTCTATAATAGTTATATCATAATATATATTGGAAATTCATAGTTATATCATAATGTTGGAATTTCATAGTTAGAATGTTGTCATAATATCAATCTTATATCCCGAAAAAGGTAGTAAAACAATAAACCGTCACCAAGGTTACTATCTAAAATGGCTATAAACCATCGAATTCATGGGCTGTGATCCCTTCTGTCGTTTCTAAATGGCGTAATAGTCATCCCCAGGTCTGATTCAACAGAATATATCACCATATAGTTACCATACAACCATATTATATATATATATGGCTATTGGTCAAAACCCTGGCACCTACTGAACCCCAAAATAGCTGGTAAATGGATGTTCATCCCATTAGAATTGATAATAATAGGTTTTGACCCACCCCCATATACTACAGTAACATATGGGAACATAGGGCCTATTTTTGATATACGTCGTTAACTATTTGCGAGTCTCCGAGTATCCTAGACTGAAGGCATATTTGTATATCCATTTCTATCCAATTCTTCGTGGTTCTATCTGTACGCAAATTCAACGACTGTAAGTTATGTCAGAAGTCCATATGATGTGGTGTGTTTGTTGACGAAAAATCTCTGCTTGCCATATTCCCGAGGCTCCTGATTCTATCCTCATGTTTGTTTTCGGTCAATTTTGTGTATCAAGTTAGATACTCATATGATTCATATGTGTTGGGTACATCAAATTTTCTCTAGATCAATGTTTTGCAAGTGTTGATACTATGCACCCATATACATGTCCGTTATCCATTATCCATGTCTGGTCATATTCCCTGTTAGTTACCCTCTGGTAAACTATGGAAAATCACCATTTTTAATGGGAAAATCCACTATAAATGGCCATGTTCAATAGCTATGTTAAATTACTAGAGGGTAATCGTGCACTGTTGGAATGTCCCGTGATGTCCCGTGTTATGTCCCCGCAACTTGGCAGAGAGGCGTTGGAGCGTCGAAGTTGAAGCTGTCGTCTGGTTCGATGAGCCACATCTGAATGCGCCTTAAATCCAGGGCCGCAAAATCACGGGGGTATTTAAAAAAACAACTCTGCATGGATTTCTTCATCCCCATTTGATTGTAGACATGTAGATACCTCATGATACCTGTGTCCTATGTCGTATGAATATAGATGAATGAGTTGAATCGCCACTAAGCGCTTCTTCGATCGCAGCACCTTTATTTGTTCATGACATGCATGTTGATTTATGATGATTTATGATTAATTTGAAATCCCTTGGAGCTATTCATTTTCCAACCCCAGAAATGCTAAACAAAAAAAACACATCTTCACGAAAACTCCACCTGTTCACGTAAAAAAGACATCACAGCACTCAACGGTTCATTTCTCGTCACTGTTCAACTTGGAGCCACCGGTCCCACCGGTCCGCGGTCCAAAAACGACTTGGAGGATCTTGGAGGATGACACCAGAAAAGTGGGACAGCTTTTGTATGTTAAAGTGTCAGCGTTATATTAAAGTTGGGATTATATGGATTATAGCCAATTCAAACTTAAACATGGGATCGGATTAATAATGGTTATATAATTGTTATATAATAAATTATAATAATGGTTATAGCCAATTCAAACATGGGATATACCATGATATACGGTATACCCCAAACAAGATCGAAGAACTTCAATTCATCAGAAGTTTGGGTTCGGATTTGACTATATCTTACCAACTTCCATGGCTTTTTTTTGGGGTTGCCGTTTCCCACTTGGAGAAACTCACCATGTGGCCCTGCCATGGCGCTTCTGAAGTTCCCGCTTGCGCTGCTGCGCGTCAGGCACCACTGGAAGGTCCATAGGAGTGAAGCTCAACTCCTGGGCTCAGATTTCCCAAAGATTCCCCGGTGGAAGTCACATTACCCTCCGGTCAACTCACAGATATTGCTATGCCATGGCCCAGTCGAAAGTTCGTTGATTATCGTTGATTTAGCCATTGAAACTGGTGATTTTCCAGAGTTATGTCTTAGTTTACCAGAGGGTAGGGAAAAATTGAAGCTTGAGCAAATCGAAGTGATCGGGGGATTATGAATCGCGATAATCATTCTGGCCGAAAATTTTCACGGAATTAGGTTTTAATTGGTAAAGTGGATAGTTCGTGGATGATAGGCACTGTAGTTGAGATTGGGATATCAAAAACACAGCACCAACACACGGCTGTTGCCCCAGTATACCGTTGTTCTCCAGTTGTCAGGAGTATATTGGGTTCCTGAGCATGCAACTGACTTAAAAGGGATCATTCAGAAAATGGTGCAGGGATGAGAGTTGAAACCAAACCGGGAAACAAATTTGAATTTACAATGATATGAGATTATATGAGCATATTTTATGAACTATATGAATTGTATATGATATTGTATGTTTGATTTCGCAAAGAACTAACTAATCATAGAGAATCAAGAACTGGAGTTCTGAACATGCCTCCACTTCTAAACATCTGATCCAAAATCAGAGGCTGCCTTGGCCCTGACAAATCTGCTGGAAGCCATGTGTCTTTCCCATCGAAAAATTGTGGGTTTTCCTGCGGATTTTCCGATTTTCCCATCCGATTCTGGCAGCCACAACCGATGCAATCATTTCGGATTCATTGGGGGATATGACATGTGTTCATGTTCAAGCGTTGGTTAGCGTTGGCCAAAAACAATACAGTACCAAAATAATCCAACATATCATCTGTATAGTCACACATGTTAGAGCAAAACCAGCGAATTATTTTAGCTCCTAGCATATTTGCTGAATATCTCTGTTGTTTTCTCAGTTTCATCATGTTATCTTGATCAAAAATCTCCAAAATATCCGTGACATGAACCTGCGGTCATCAAACGTGGCTGGGAAATCCCCTCAGTGGCTACATGTTGCCATCAGACTGATTCGGTCCTGCCCACTTTGACCCTTCGTCTTCTTCCTTGGCTCTTTGTAAACCTGGGGGTTGGATCACTATTGGCGAAGCCCATGTCTTCACCATGGCAATGATTGGCGGGTCGAGGCCAAAAGTAATGCTTTTGCAAACACGAAATGAGTGTGATCATTGAAGGGGACAGTACAACATGACTTGCACCAATAGGACATTTATTACGGATTAATAACGGAACCCCACAGTATCAAAGCTATTCATCTGTTGGATAGGGTGATGCTTGACTTCTGGAAAGCAATTAGCTGGCAACTGACCAGGTGGCTATGGCTCAAGCATGCCCTTTTTTTTGAAGTTTCACCAGCCAGAAGTGACCAGCCAATCATCCAACATCTGAATCAGTCTTCTGTGTGCTTCCACGCCATCAAATATCAAAGTCACTTGGGGATGGGTTTTGACCCCCTGGTACCCCTGTAGTTCACCCCAAGTCATAGCTGGGATTTATGGATGTTCATCCCACTCAAAATGGTGTCCCGGCCTATCTTGGATACCCTGAACAACGAACCTGTCACAGTCGGCTAAGTTTCTTATTTCTCCCATAAAAATCCCAGTTTATACTACCCAGATGGATGTGGGTCAAAATGGAAGACCGATGTGGGACCACAGATGTGAATGTCTAGTTTAGTATTAACCATTCAATTATTGGGGTACCTAATTTTGACCCATACCCAGATTGATACATCCTTTTTAATTAATTGCGGTATCCCCCAAAAATAACTAGTGACAATACGACGTCCATCCAAACAATTCAGCGGCCCAGGGGGTTGTGATGATCCGTGATTAACATTTAGCGGGTTTAAAACAGATGGGTGTGTCTGAAAATACCCTAACAAATCCAATAGTTTGTTAAAACAAACAATTTTCCAGTTTTATGGTTCTACACCATTTCCAGACATGCCTATACTATAAAATCTGGCTGAATTAACTTTTTTTTTACATAATTAATTCCGTTTGGGGATGATTTCCCAGAGATGTCATTAATTTTTTCATCCAAATATATCCAGCTGAATACCCATTAAATCCCATTAAACTTCATGAAATCCCACTAAAATCCTACAAAATCCCATTAAATCCAGATAACGAACTAGCCACGAATCGCGCATTCTGAAAACCGAATGCAGACCTGACCCGGTCGCGCCTCTTGCGCGACGGCACTTTGAATCGCGAAACTGGCCGAGTGCAACACCTCCTTAGGGTGACCGACCATGGCCAACCTATAGCCTGGTAGCCCTTCAAAATAGCTGGGAGTTATAGATGGGTCAAGCCATTTAAGCCCAAAGGATCAGAAATTATAGGATTAGTAAATTATTATAGGAGTATTATAGGATTGATCTTTAGTTTTCACCATGAAATCTTACTCATGGGATTTCCTTCCTAAAACAAAAAAGAATCCACTGGGTTCGCGCGCGCACGCCTTGCCCAGCTTATATTTGGAGGCACGCACGTGGACCCGACGGGAAAAGTTTACGTGTAGCCACTGGCTCAGTCAGTAATCATTGGCGTGCCCAAATTTGACCCAGACCTATACTTTGGTTTTCATAGGAAATCCATGTTCTGACTCTTACAGAGGTTAGGCTACACCCAACCTATACTAATATGGAGCCTTCCTGAAATAGGGCTACCCACCATGACTATGGAAACCCCCCATTGAGTCATCCACGAATAGGACAAGGTTTCACCAGAGTTCACCAGAGTTCAGACGGAACAAAAGCCAGAACCCAGATATACATTTTGTTTTCTGAATATACTCATATATATATATATAATATATATATATAACATATAATATATATATAATATATATAATATATATAATATATATAATATATATAACATATAATATATATATTATATATAATATATAAATATGATATATATATATACATATATATATATGATATACCCGTATATTTATTTATTATAGTTTGTTAAATTTGTTAGTGATACCACCCAAAAAAACACTAACCAGTAGCATGGCTAATCTCAAATAGTGCAAACATGTTAGTTTGAAGCCGATTTGAGCTGTCCCATTTCTGCCATGCTCTGTCCCTTTTTTTACTTGCCACATGTGCAACACCAAGATTGACAATGTGTACTTAATTGGTGGATAAGCCCCATGCCACAGTTGCCGTCTTGTCGGGGACGAAAATCAATATCTATACCCTCTGGTAAACATACAAAAAACTAGGGGAAAATCACCATGTTTGATCATTTTTGCGGGGTAAATCAACTATTTCGACTGGGCCATGTTCAAGTTCGCAAACTGCTACCAGAAGGTCAATCTCCATAAATCCAGATAAATCCTAGCTCTCAGAAGGTCACCGGGATACCCCAGGTAGATTCCATGCACCCCCAAAAAAAGACATGCCAAGTCTCGTGTTTCCAGCTGCATGGTAACGTTGAATTCAACATGAAGATCACCGCCAGCAACGCCGGAATGAGGCCGCCTCTGGCGAAATACTTGGCAGAGGCGCCATGGGACGGACACTTTTGGTTTTTCGTGGCTACATGTTTAACACATGTGGCTTAAAATACTTGGCAGAAATTCTGGTTTTTATATATTTTTATGCCATACTACTTACCTTTTATGGTTTTTTAATATGCCATATACCCTCTGGTAATTTAACATAGCTATTGAAAATGGCCATTTATAGTGGATTTACCCATTGAAAATGATGATTTTCAATAGCTATGTTAAATTACCAGAGGGTACTACATAAACCCGAAGATTTAAGCTGGTGGATGTGTGGGGATAGCACCATTCATACACGGGAACACGCATAAACCGCAACCGGAAGGGCGGTTGCCCCCCATTTATGTGTTTTGGTTTACGCTGCACATGTAACTTAACTTTTTGGATATATGCGATTATCCACCATGAATCCTATAGCTATCAAACTTACAAACCAACTTAAGCTATCAACAATCACCTGGAAAACCTCAAAATTTGCTGAATCTAGTTGTTAAAAGTTGTGAAAATCACTATATAAATCCAATTAATAATCCCATCAAACATCCCATCAAATCCCATTTTTTTCCACCAAACGGAGGAAAAATCGCCTGCCTTTGTTGTTGGTGACATCGCTGGGCTGAAGCAAATACTGCGCCCTTGTGGGGATCACCTTGCGGAGCTCAAAATGATGGGGATGCGTTTGTATAATTTGAGATAATTTAATAGGTGTATAATTGTGTATACATATACTGATATATATATAGATATATATATAACTTATATCCGGCACTCGGATGTTTGGGTGTCTGAAAATGTTGGACTTCAATGGATTTAACATCATCATAGCATCTGACGAGCAAAATTGTCCAACAACTGGGTTGTGACAACCCCAGTGCAGGAAATCATGGCTACTTGATGGTTGCAACCCATCCAAAAAAAATACCATTGGGATCATAGACAAAACAATTTTTCAGGGGTGAGGTAACATGGGGCAACAAGGTTTCAAACTACAGTACCTGCCTTTCCTTACCAACATGGGGCGTTTCCTTCACCAACTGCTACTCTGTTTTGGTTCTGGGAGTGTCCTCTGGACCAAAAATTGCACCAAAAATCACCATGTCTGGACATGAAATCTGGGGGACACTGCACAAATGGTTCAGACATTTGGCTAACCCTCAACAGCCTTCCAAATCACGTCCAGGGCCACATGGCCAATGATGCCAATGTCTGTGATCCTATATTGATCCTTGCTCACATGGCTGTTTCACTATACATTGTATACATTTTGCGAGAAAGGGGATGAAAGCTAAGCAGCACCTCTGTGAACATGCGAAAACATGCGAAACTTCGGCCATGTACAAGTTTTGGGTCAGAAATCGAGCCTTCAAATTCCCAGATTTCCATTGGTGAATGGCTACCTGAAACATCATACAAGATCCGCATCTAAAACCATGAGGCCATTGTTTTGGGTTCAAACACACACAAAAATCGATAGTTAACAGCAATCTCAGGTTCAAATACTGTTATTATTCAGGGTTAACGTCCATAAGCATCCAATGTTAGTCTCATTTTTTGGTGGATGAATTGGTCCATTAAAAAAAACACCCCTTTTCATCGCCGGAGCGCCTGGCGAATGGCCTTACACATGGCTTGCGCCTTTGCTTCCGCCTCCTGGCCGAAGCATCACAGATGTTTTTTCTGACAGTCCATTCTTCCAAGTCCCCATTCAGTGGATAATAGTCCACTATAGTCCATTATAGTCCATTATAGTCCATTATAGTCCATTATCCCCTTTATAAGTGGCTTATAGCCCCAGTTCCTATCACGCTCGGATCCCTGGGATTGCCGCCTTCTCGTCCAAAGCCCACAAACTCACGGGGTGCGGCAATGATCCCACGGCACAAACTGCTCCATAGACCACGGCCAGCAGAACGCCTGCTGTCGGTGGTGGTTTATTGGTTGGGGAATTGGTTGGGATAGATGGTCTTTTAGCATATTTCTAACAGTAAAATTGGGATAGATAGATGTATTGGGATGTATTCTAAAAGTGAAGTATAGTTTACAACAACAACAACAACTCAAATTAGCCTTAAAATTGCCCCGTTGTTCAGGTGCTTGGACAAGTAAAATGACATTATATAATTGATATCTCAAAATGGCGCTCAAAACACGGAGAAAAACGGGTCGTTACGGTTACGCGGTGATCCGGGCGTATGGAACCAAGGAGTTACGCCCGGATGATCTCAAATGAATTCTTATTATCTGTGACAAATATGAAATTTGAAGTGAGTGTATTGCGAAACATGCGGGTTTTGCCACCAAAACATGAGGTCCAAGTATTTTAAACCAAGGTCTTCATTGGTTTGAGCGGCCGGAGCATGAACATGTCCCAACCAAGAATCAGCATTTGATCATCGAAAATCTGAGACATCAGTGGCCTGGTACATCTTGCCATGTGCACGTTCCACCTTTTTAAAAGGTTCCCTTTGGCCAAGATTTTGGGGTCTAAATATGTTGATTCCCCCTTGTTACAAGCATTGTATCATGGTGTAACTTAAACTCAACCAGCCAAACTACTGTTTGTTTACTCAGGTTTACACAATGTTTTATCATTGTTAAATAACCAGGAGAAACCCCTACATATGCTGTTGTTTCATTTGTTCGCGCCCTGCTGGATAAACCATGAAAACATGGCCAGTCTTACAATCGATACCCTGTAACATTGGCATTTTGGGCTGGTTGGCCCCTATATCATATATTATCCTCTGGTTATTTAACATAACCATGGAAAATGGCCCATTTATAGATGATTTTCCCAGCTATAAACCTCCATGTATAAGGCATGGCTATGTTCAATAACCAGATGGTATATGATGTATAAAGATGTATAAAGTATAAACGAAGGTATTCATCGGGAATTGATGGTCAAATCCTGGTTTTCATTAAAACATTGTTAAACTATGTTTAAGTCCTTCAAGGTGTCCACAGGATAAAACATGATAAAAACCACTTAAGGTCCCTAGTTTTCCAGCTTCAATTCCACTAGTTTGCTATAAACACCAAATGATTTTTCGAAGTCAGAAAACTCAAAAAACGGAACCACGGCTCTTCGAAGACGTGAAACGGGCCTTCATGATCATCTTCCAGGTGTGTGAGTTGCTTCATGTTCCGCACCAGGCGGCAGCGATCGCCTAGGCTTTGCGTTGCAGCCGCTCAGAGAAAAGGCGTTCTGATTTTCGATGATGTTCAAAGGTCATTCGACATAACTCCCCTTAGCTAAGTTGGGTTACAACATTTAAGATACCCTCTGGTTATTTAACATAGCCATGGAAAATCACCATTTTCAATAGGTAAACCATCTATAAATGAGCCATTTCCCATGGCTATGTTAAATAACCAGAGGGTAAGATAACTAGGGTTTAGATGGGTTTGGGCTAATTGTAACATATTGTAACTTTGTAACCATGGGCTTTAGAAAGCAATTTGCAGTTTCGGGGCTTTTCGGGGCACCACCTTTTTGTGTCCACATCTCGTGGTCCGCCACGCCACCACGCCTTGAACCCGCTATCATACAGCCGTTGAAGCATGTCAAAATAACAATCTTGAGGTATTTTTTTAATGTAATATCAATGAATATCAATGAAGTCTCAATAAGTACCATCAATGAGATGAACATCATTTGGAATATAATGAATATCAGTGTTCCCATGAATTCCACAACCATTTAAATTACGAGTATCTTCCCATGCTTGCTCAATCACCATGGCTGGAACCATGGCTGGAACCACTACAGTTTCGGATGACAACTTCTTGCGACGACAAATCTGAGAAGAATGAGAAGACCTAAGATTGTTTTCATGAACAGTAGATTTTCATGGATGCATACCAGTGCCACCGATGTACTTGGATGTGGTGTTTTTTTGTTGCTACATGCGTTATTTTTGCACAGCCAGGTGAATAGTTCCATATCACCACTTCCGTTCATGGGTGAAATCTGGGTTCCTACCCTCCTTGGTTCCTACCCTCATTTTTTCTGATCCAACCACCGGGGGTAAATGGAATATCCCCAGTGACACATGGGTTGTCTATTGGAAAAACGTTGTAAACCAAATCATAAACCATCTCCAAAATCACAATGGTTGGTACCTATATCCTCTGGTTATGACTAACATAGCCATGGAAAATGGCCCATAGAAATAGATGATTTATGATGATTTACCTATTAAAAATTGTGATTTTCCAGTTCGCTATGTTAGTCATAACCAGAGGGTAACCCCTCAAACATTTGAAGGTTTATGACATTGTGTTTACCATGGGTTTACCACATATAGCCACATCACCAAACTATCGAGGCAACCCAAATCACCCATCAATCACTTCCTATCCAGCAGATCACCAGTCATAGAACACATAGAATTGAAGGGAAAATTGGCAGGAAACTCCGGAAACCTCTACCTCTGGTAAACTCATAACTATGGAAAATCACCATTTTTAATAGGAAAATCAACTATTTCTATGGGCCATTTTCCAGAGGGTAGATTTGAGGGGTTTTACCTATTGTAAAAACACTGTTTCAAATACCAAACCACCATAGATCTCCGTCTCCCGCGCAGACCATTCAATGTCCAGATCCTCGGCGTTGTCCTGCTTTCATCGACAAAAAGAGACTTATGAACACAAAAAAATATTCCCTTGCCAATACACACATTTAACCTGGGTGTTGCAATGTTGTTCCAATTTTATAGGGGAAATTGGCTGGGGGATAAACTTAAATACTCTCTGGTAATGACTAACAGTTTGCGAACTGGAACATGTCCCAGTTCGCAAGTTCAGTGACTTACCGATTAAACACATTTAAAAACGCTGAGAGTTTCCAGCTTGCAAAGTGCTTTTTATTGCCAGAAGGTACACCAACAACCGCCAACAACTACCAACAAACGATTGCAGACCTGAAAATAGTTCAACTCATATCAGTTGATCAGTTTACCACTTATTTTTTCGCAGGTTTGGATTTTATTTGTTCTCTCAACTGTTGGGGTTTACTATATATGCCTTATAAATCCTAAAAAACATCATTATAAATCCCTAAAATTGGATGTTATATCAAAAAAAAAAATCTCTATTGGATTTTTATATAGATCCCTAAAATCTACAAATCAACCAAGAAATTTGTCGCTGCGCTGGCGCTGCCAGAAGCATGTCCCGATGTCCCGTCCTCAGAGTTGCGCTTCGACATGGCTTCCAGGACTTCATTGGCGACCTGAATTCATCGAGGGGGTTGGGGATTCACCAAGAAACATGTGGATACCCTCTGGTTATGTCAAAATAGCTATAGAAAATCACCATTTTAATGGGAAAATCCACTATAAATGGTCATTTTCAATAGCAACTATAGAAAATCACCATTTTTTAATGGGAAAATCCATCTATTTCTATGGGCCATGGCTTCCATAGCAAACCGTTAAATTACCAGAGGGTATCTGGAAGATTTACTCATGAAATGGCCATAGAAATAGTGGATTTACCCATTGATAGCATGGTGATTTTCCATAGTAAATGATAGTTAACCTGGTTGGTGGTTGACCTACCCCTCTGAAAAATATGACTTCGTCAGTTGGGGTTACGACATTCCCAACTGAATGGAAAAATAAAATTCCATGGTTCCAAACCACCAACTAGTTTATGATAGCAAAGTTGGTGAACATAATCCCAATAACTCGAGCTCATGGCAATCATATGAGAACTATCACCGTTACTATAGTTATTTGGGGTTGGAAACCAACAAACACAACTGAGAGGGGCCCTAACCGTTATGGTATTTATCATGTTGAAGGATGAGAAGTATAATGTTGAAAGATACTAAATATCTATAATTTTACCACCAAGTATTTATCGCAAATATATATTCAATCATTGAAATATTTACAGTATAACTTATAATAGAAGGAGCATCCCGATGTCATTTCCCTTCAACTTTGCATTAATATAGCGAATTCGTTAGCAGTTTCCCATTGCATCATAAAGAGGAACAACCATGTTGGAAGGAGAATTAGTGTATACAAAGTCACTGCAATGTTTTTGGGGATCTGAAGACATCCGTTTTCGGATAGCTACGAGCGCATTTGCCCCAAATACAACCCATGAACAAGGACATATATCTTGGATCATATTGGATTTCTGCGTGCAGGTACTAAATGTTTCAGATTTGTTCATGAAGAAGGGACCCTTTCACCAATTGAAACTATAAATGTTAGGGTTTCTAGGGGTATTGAATCATCCTATTAATCCTATGGGGGGAGGGTGTATGACCATCCAACCATTTTAGGGGAACTCATTTTGACCATTCATGCCACGGACTATAGAGTTTGTGCGTAGCAAATAAGTGTCACTACCATACTTACTATACCACCACGTAAATCTATATACACAGATGTGCAGTATGTCGTATTGACTGGTATTCTGTACAGTAGTCACCATGTACTGGTACTTAATAAAGTCATATAAAGTCGATATATGGGGATGGGTCAATTCCCTGGTACCTAGTGAACCCCAAAATAGCTGGTAAATGGATGTTCATCCCACTAAAAATGTATCTATAGGTATTGACCCATACCCATATATGTTTCAGCAAGTGTTACTATGATAACATTTAGAGTACATTGATATAGCAAACACGCAAGAAGTTGGCTGTGTAGCTATGGCCTGAGGCCTAGGGACCAACAAAATGTCGATGTTTCATATGGATTTGCCTTAAAATGGGGTACCTCTAAAGCCAATGGTTAAATCTACCCTCTGGTTATTTTTCACGTAGCTATGGAAAATTTATAATGTTTAAGTTCGGTAAATCCGGTAAATCATGAATCATCCATTTTCATGGGCAGTTGTCTATAGCTAAGATGGCCATGACGATCGGTTCATCCCCAATTTTCAGACACGCCCCATTGGTACTAGCTGTACTTATTATGCAATCAACTGCAGTGGAGCCCAAGTTCGATCAACAAGTATCCTAAACAGCGTTGATTTTCAATACGCTAAACACATCTGTAGGTTTCCTACCTTTACGTATCTTTACGTTTCCGCATCCTGCCCGATGCGGAACTTTCATAGACCAAGTGGCCAACTTGAACTGTGCCTCAGTTTGAAGTTCCATCCCGTTCTATCCCATTCCCAACATGGAAATTTCAGTGGAGAATATGATGATCAACCATTGCTGGTTGGTGGTTTTAACATGTTTTAACCATAGAATCATCTTGAAAAATATGAAAGTCAATGCAAAGGATTATCCCATATATTATGGAAAATAAAAACCATGTTCCAAACCACCAGATAAAAAAAAAAACACAATCGATGGATTCCCATTCAATGGCCGCTGTGTTTCTTTAAATCAGCAGATCCGTTTTGCATAATCGGCTGGATTACTGCCAAGAGAAAAGGAATGCATGAGAAATAAACATACCCTCTGGTAAACTAACATAGCTATTGAAAATTGCCATAGAAATAGTGGATTTACCCATTAAACATGGTGATTTTCCATAGCTATGTTAGTTTACCAGAGGGTAATTTGAACTAAACCTCCGAATTGTTTGGCAAAAAACCCAACAGTAGCCATATCCAACAGTGAAACAATCTCCCAAGGGCACAAGGACCATGTTTGGGGTTCCGACTTAAATTTGGTCCCCAAAAAGATGCTTGGTTCACGTATTTCCAGGATGGTGCTTTCGATGGGAACGTTTTCCCCATTATTTCTGGGTCTTCAACTTTTCTATCTATAACTGTTGGTTAATCACATGTAATCACATCATCCCATTAAAAATATTCAAAAATCATCAGATGTGTTTGATGGTTCCAATGACATCCTCATAAAAATACGATGTGCTAAACTGCTAAACCATGAAACTTTTGGGTTTAGGAAATTGGGGGTATGCCCTAAAAAATATGAAAAAATGAGATGATCTACAAAGAACCCTTTTTAGGGTTGGTGAATAAGATGGTTTTGGCATTGGGTGGATCCCCCTCATTTCCCCAGCTTCAGGGTTGCTTCTGTCCCCCTCATTTCCCCAGCTTCAGGGTTGCTTCTGTAAGAAAACAAAAGGGGCTGCCAGCTTCCAACATAGCCATCAGAAAATCCCGATGATATCCCCATCTCATACACTCTCCGGTGTCATCAAGCGTGGCTTGCTAGAAAATGGACGGTTTAGTTCGGGCATTTCCCAGCAAGCTACGGGAAATGATTAGCAGAGGATTTTTGTTAACCAATATCCCATTACAGTCTTACTACCCTCCAGTAAATTAACATAGACCCTGCCAGATGGGGGTTGAAAGACTAGTTTTCACTATAAATTGGCCAGTTTCAGGGTCTATGTTAACTTACCAGAGGGTAATATTCCGTGATATAATGATCTCCCATGATATCTGCATGATATCCACAGAATCCCATCCCATATGTCACAATGCTATCTCTGATGGAGATATATCACATTGACATCTTCAGCTCCATATAAGCTGCTGCCAGCTCTACTTATCTTTGTTGGTTTAGTTTCAGCCCGTGAATGACAGTTCGATATATCAACACAAGTGACATTGGAGTGATGTTCCCCTTAAGTTAGCTAACTAAATCCCATTTTTCATCACCATTCAAATCAGTGAATCACAATTTTTAACCACCATGAAATCCCCCTATTAAATCCCCATTAAATCCCATTTTTCATCTCCATTTTTTCATCCACTTCGTTTCGTTTTTCCTGTTTCGGCCCGAGCCACCAACTCGTGATTGCTCCAGCGCGTCAAAACTTGGTCCCCCCTGAAACCAAAGAGCCGCCAGGGACCTGATGGGATTTTTCAATGGGAATCCTCAAGGGGAACTCGTAGGATTTTGTATCAATGGAATGACATCAATGGCATTATTTATTTGTGATATCAGTTATGATATCATCCACCAGTCATCACCATTTTTATATGTGGTTTTTGATCCATTCCCAGTCATGGATAATTTGTTTATGTCAATGGATTGGCTTAAGGGGAAATCTTAACCGGAAACCATGGTTTTTACCATAAACTATAGGGGTTTCCGGTTAAAATTTTCCCATCATCCAGTTCTATGATTGTGATATCATATATAATCCCATTCATATCCCATTGATACAATTGATTTATAATGGCATAACTTATAGGATTTGAAATGATATCAATGGGATATGAATGATGGGATATATATATATAAACATATATATAAATGGAACATGCCTAAGGTTATTTTCAATGGATTATAAATGGAATATAATGGAATTATAATAATGGGATAAAATGGGATTAAAAATGGGATATAAAGACCTAGGATATGAATGGGAAACGGAACATCAACGGGATCTTCAGATTCCATTCAAGATTGCTTGGCGAATCCAGTGGAATATCATGGATTATAATTGCATAAGTGGAATAAGTGGGATAAGTGGGATACATGCACCAAATAATGTATGTACATATATTCTATCATAGTATATCACATACCTATAGTTCAATGAATCCGAATAGATCATAACAAAGGTAACTCCACCAACCTGCAAAAATTGGACACCTGGGGATAGTTACCCCAATCCAATTCCCATCGTGACGCCGTGACGCTGCCGGGAGGTGGCTCTGACTTATCCAGAACAGCGGAATCACATGGAAACCACAATGAGAAAATATGTAGACATCCACACCATCCACCCAAACAAGGGAAACGATTGGAAACCATATTGGAAACATCCTGGATGAACATTGGGAACATCTTGAAGTTCAGGACTGTGGTTGTCCAAAGGTCTTCATAGACCATCCTTTGGTGCGCTGGTTTAAAGAAAACATCCACCATTTAGGCCTTCAAACTTCAAAAACTTCTGCACACATATCTGTCACCAACAGGGGGAGATGATTCCAATCATTCCAATCCTTCAATTCTAGAGATATTGTCCCATTTTATCCCATTATATTGTCCTATTTTATCCCATGTTATCCCATTGTATTATCCTATTTTATCCCATTTTATCCCATTTTATCCCATTTTATCCCATGTTATTCCATTATAACGGATGATATATCCATTTCTATTGTTACTTCTGGACCTGATTCAGGCCTATAAAAGTGGTTTTGGAGACCTCGAATCCTCCCAACATCATCCATTTTGCTTTACCCTCCAGTAAATGAACATAGACCCTGCCAGATAGGGCTTGGAAGATTCGTTTCCATTAAGAATTGGTTATGTTCAGGGTCTATGTTTATTTACTGTTATTTACGAAAATTTATAGTGGATTTACCCATGGGTAAATGGTGATTTTCCATATAGTTATGTTAACTAGAGGGTAAACCAATGGAACAAACATCATCCATTTTGCTTTACAACATCATCAACTCCTTGAAGACCAAATGGTCCAATGGGGCCAGCTGGTGCCGAATCACTGTCTTCATCCGAGAGCAACAACGGCGCCAAGTCTCTCGTCAGGAAGTTCAAGCGGAAGCGCAAGCGCTCCAGCTGTCCTACCAGGTGAACTGGTTGCAGGTATGCCTTCTAGGGGCTACTGGCCCAGATTGGAGGATGAAAACCATGTGAAAATGGTGGGATGGATACCTGATGTATGGATCAAAACCTACAAAATACATCGAACATACCATATTCTGGGGCTCTTTTGCTCACCAAAGCACTGGGGGTTTGGCAGTTTTGACCTCTAACATCCTATACCAATAGTGAACTATTTGGATCGAACTAACCCCGAGCCACCATGAATCACCAGGGTTTCAAGGCATTGCTGATGCAACACGGTGCTTTTTCTGGGCAAATTGAAGGGGTCTTGGGTCTTGGTCTTGAAAATATGGGATTTTCATGGATTTTCCATTTTTCAGGGCCAAAAAAATCTGATGTATGATCATTTCCCTCTTGAAATGGCCATACTGTGGGGGGATATCCCGTTTGTTTTTTATTGCTTTTTACCATGGGTTTTGCAACATGCCATGCCATGGCTGTCTCTATCTCCACTTCAACTTTTTCGGGGCATTTCAGGGTCAGCAGTCCCTGGCTGTCTTTTTCAAAGTGCGGCAGGAACATCCCTCTTACTGGATTTTCCTCAACAAAAACCACACTGGAATGAACCAATGGCTAGGGAAACCTAAGGAAAAACAATCATTTCACCCTCAACGCAATTTTCTTATCCCTTTAGGATGCAAAAAGTTGTACGCCATATGGCTTTCCGCGGCTTGCGACACGTTTTCAATGAGCAGACCTCTCGCGTGTAGGTTTTTGCCTGGACATGGTTTTTAATGTGCCAGTAAAAAACCTTATTAATATATATATATATATTATATTTGATTTATCATTTCTCACTTACTTTACATCCCCATCCCATTCGCCATTTCGATAAAAATGGTCATGTACATCACAATTGAACAACACATGGGTTTATCGGTTTATCCATCCCATCCGCGAAAAAAAACATCTGCTTTACCCAGCCCCCCAGTCCCAAATTTGACAGAAAAAGTCCCTGTTGATCGTCATATCCCCCAAAACAATCAAAATAAACATGTGTCCCTGTTGCTGGCTATATCATGCTATATCCTCCCAAAATGTCCATAACATGTTGAAACAGCACTATGTTGCTTGGTTCAAGGGTTCAACCTTCATTTTTCCTCCATTTTACCCATCCCCATCCAGCTTTATGTTCAACCTCTTCAACCTTCATTGTTCATGGATTTTACCATGTGTCTTACCCATCTGGCACAATGTTCATGGCTAAAACACCACCGGCGCCAAGATCTGGTCGCCTGTCTGCAGCGTCTCCAAGAGCGTGAGATCCAGCACCCGCGACAGCAAGGAGCGCAGTAACGCGGGCTTCAGGTTCTGCAGACGCTCGTGCAGCTGCTCCCTCTCCTGACGTTTCGACTCCTTGCCGGAAGAAAAGGATGGGAACAATAGCAGTCTTTTTTCACCCCGAGCCCGCAATTGCGTGCGCGGCACAATCCGCTTGAGCGCCGGCCTGAACCCTGGGTCTATTCAGCCAAAAGATGCGAAGTGGAAACCACATCAAAATCAAATAAAATAAGACAAACAAAAAACACTGCCGACAAACTTCATTGTCTTCACTCAGCTCAAATCAAAACAGGGAGGACCGTGAAGTCCAATCAAATAAAAACCCACCCAAGAACAATCGAAAAACCAACAAACAAAAAGAAAAACCAGAACACTTCAAAAGATCCACCTTCTGGCACCTTAGTTGGCAGGAGGACAAGACATGGAAAAAGTATGGCATCGCAACACTCCGTCCAGAAGACATGAAACAACTCTTCCAAAAACTCAAAAACAAATCAAGTGGAATCACATCCAAGGGAAACCCTCAGCAAGTGCAAATTCAAATTTGCTCCTGCTTCACTGCTCCCATCACGTAACCAGCACAAAAAATGGGACAAGAAAAATAACACCAATGCAGCTTATGACTGGAGGTGCAAACTGCCACGGACCCTAGGAGACTGCCACACAGCCTCAACCGCATGGGAAAACTGCTGGCCAAACTTGAGCGCCACTAGTGAGACCGCACTCACGCTCACTAAGCTCAGTTGGGACACGAGATGGGCGCCAGTAAAAGCATCCATCAAAGCAGTGAAATCCCGCTCTGTGACAGCCAAAATGTACCAAGCATTCCACTCAGCTCAAATCAAAACAGGGATGGGAACAAACATATAAAAATATGGGATCTGAAGCAACAAAAATGGAGGTTTTGAGCTGCTAAGACTGGAAAAAAAGTGAAACATTGGCATTTTAATGAGAAACATGTGTGGTTTTTGGCAGAAAACCATCACTTTAGTGATGCACACTGGGATTTCGTATACAGTATTGAGTACAAGGTGGTGCCCTATAGTTGGATAAGTTGGTTTATAAGTGCAGTAACTGCGGAGTTGTGGCGCAATGTGGTAGATATATCTCTCGTTGATGAGGGGTTGGAAATCTTGTAACATCTTATAACATCCCTGACAATCCAATTATGATATATATGCTAACATGTGGTTCCGGTTCTTTAGCTATAAGGTATCAAATATTTTTCAATGAAATTAGTCTTTTTGGGTCTAGATCCCTGGGTGGAGTGGTGCGGCAAGGCGGCCTGGAACCTTGAAACCTGCTGTTGGGTTGCAAAGCTGGATTAATATTATATAATATTATATAATATGTATTTATTTATTTATATGTATATACTGTATATATATATATATAATTATATAATTATTGGTTTTTGTATCTGAAATTAAGTTCTTTAGATATTAATCACATCTGCAAAAGCTTAGGTAGCACCAACCCAAGCAGCTCCCAGCCGCACGAAGTGCTGAGATGCAACAGCGACAGTCGCCTTTTCAGGCATGCGTAGCCATCACGGTCGTTCGCGCCCACCCTGGGCCATATGTTGGCGGGTCAGCCGTGTGAGACATGAACATGGGAAAAGGTGCAAGGAATGCAACTTCACACAGGGGAAAGTGCTTTGTCACACCTTCCATTAATTGAACTGCATCCCAGCTGGAGCGTTCACAACTCGCAGCCCATGTTCATCGAAAAACTGAAAGGCGTCATCGCCTGGAACCACTAAATCCTGCCGTGCGCAGATCGCACATGGCTGGAAAATCCTAATCTCTCGGCCGCTATCATACAGCTCATCGCACTGATCGTCGCGATGCCAGACAGAGCTTCCATCTTGGATATGGACCTCATCGCCCAGAGGACAGCGTTGCACATGCTGTCTCAGGTCCACCTGAGCTTGGTATCCAGCTCCGAGATCTCGTGTTGCAAGGGCCAGCGCTTCTTGAAGTTCGCGGGCAGCAGCACGTTGATCCACGAAAGCTCGTCGTGCTCGATCATAGGCAGTGGTCCGGCGGTCGTAGGAACCGCGGAGCTCGTCATACATCACCACCAGCACATTGGAGCGGTGGTTGCCATGACTCCGTGCAGACTCCAGGAAATCAATTTGACCTCGGAGTCGCAGCTGCTCGGCTCGAAGTTTCCAGACGTAGAGGCCAACCAGAAAAAGGGCCAAAATGGCCGCCACCACGAAGATGGATTCCCAGCTCGTAGAGCCTTGCATCTTCACCTCCGCAGCGTCGGTCAGGCACACAAGGTTTGAAGCTTCAGCTCCAGGAATGCCAGATAGCATCCACATCACCATCGTCAGCTTGAAGATGATCTCGAAGGTCTTCCACCAGCGTCTCAACGGGGCATCCATCGCCAGAGGCGCCAGGGCATTCTGTACCATGTCCACATACGCAAGAGGGTCTGCGGACTGTGCAAAGTAGGTCTCGGCAGGGACCTTGGCATACTGTGAAACCATGTCATTCTTTGAAAGTTGGGCATTCTTTGGGGTCAGGTCATTCGTTGGAACCTGTTTAAAGTCAGAGACCAGGGCATTCGTTGGCGCCAGGTCATTCTCAGTCATCTCAACATCTTCAGAAGCTTCCAGCTCCTCCTTGATGATTCGCAGCTCAGACTGCGGTTTCTTCCTCTTGGTGTTTCGGCTTTTCGTTGTGGCTTCCAACTCATGTTTCTTCTCCTCCAGGGTTTTCTTCTTCGCAGCCACATAGTTGGGGTCGTACAAGAATTTGATGCGACCGTGACGCAGCTTGTCTGCGAGCTGCTGTCGCATACTGTCCTTGGTCAATCCGTCCGCCAATTGGCGATCAGATGAAACCCATCTGAGTCCACCTCCAAGACCAGAGATCTGCTACTTGACGACGCGGATCTCCAAAGACGACCGTCTGTCGGTCACATTTGACACCAGACTCTCTCTGTGGTAAGAGTCAAAGAGTGCCTTGGCATCTGTCACCAAGGTCGGTGCCAAGCTCGACTTGAGGTTGAGCAGGGTCGCCAGGGGAACATCAGGTTGAAGAAGATGTTCATAGTACCTGCAGGCAAACTCGGTGGCGTCTGCTGCACATCCTGCCGACTGAGCTTCGGCAGATAGAGAGCTACGTGCAACTCTCGGCAGCTTGAAGGACTTCCAGTCCAAGATGTGGTACACATCCTCCTGGGTCTCCAGCACATGCTTCGGGGCCAACAAAACAAAGTAGCCACCCTGTGAAGTTCCGTCAGGTCTGCTGCAAAATGACGCATCAAATGCAGTGATCATCCGAAGGTTCTCCACAGGGCCAAGTGGTGGAAAAGTCAAACCCACATCACTGTTTTCCTTGGCAAACTTGAGAAGACGGTTGGTGTCCATGGCCGTCTTGAGAAGGCCTTTTGAAACACTGCCGGAGTACACTGAAGTGCTCGCCTGCAAGTACGGGCTGCTTTGAACGGCAGGCCACTGCAAAGAACCCAAGAGCCCTCGAAGCTGTGTCACCTCCGATTGGGACATCTCATGTTCAGGACCCAACCGAGGCAAAGTCATAGGCTTGACCTTGTGCAGGTACTCCTTGTGGTGGAGCTTGATCGTGCCATCAGGGCTTTTGGTCATGGTGGCACCGCAGTATTCCAAAGCATCACCATCTTTCCATTCTCTGAAGGAGAAGGTGTTGCGCAGCTCCTCAATCACCTTGCAGTAGATTTTGGAAGTTTCATCACCGCATCCAAGCATGTCATCAACATGTAGGCATATCATTCCAACCAAACCACTGTCCAGGAAGGGCTGTTTCGCCTCAGTGTCCGGGCCATAGAGCTCCTCAAAGTCCTGGGCATACACAAGGAAGCAGCACGGATCCAGCAAGTGCTGGCGAAGTCCAAGTGCTTTGAGTCTTCGGCAAGCTTCCAGCCACCATCGTCTGGGAGCATCCAACTGCCCATAACAAGGCTTTCGAAGAAGCATCCTCGTCTCAGGTCCACAGCCAAGTAAGGCCAAAGCATCAGCAGGAACTCGAATCCAAATCTTCCGCTCTTGAGGTCGACCTTGAAGAAAGGCAGTTGAAATATCCGAAGTCCAAAGCTTCCAACCCAAAGTTGAAGACAAAGAAATCAACATGTTCCTGGAAAGTCTTGTAGTGGTTGGACTGCTTGTTTCAAGCTGGCCATTCAGGGCATCCACATCAGCATAGCCCCTCACGATCAACCGTGCCTTGGCTCTAGGGGAGCCATCTGCATTCTTGCTCCAAGTCAAGAGCATCCGAGCCGACAAGGTTCGACTGGGATCGGCATTGGCATCGGTGTCGAAGATCCAGACATCGTTCTGGAAGAAGGACTGAAGTTCCTTCGCTTTGGCAGCTTGAAACAAAGCTCGTTGATCCACATCCAGGCGTCTCTCATCGACAGTCTTGCTGTTGGTTTTCTTGGCCTTGGTCTTGAGGTCTCGGCCAATCTTCTTGGCATTCAGGTTGGCATACATGCCAAGTTCACGCCTGGCTTGACCAGTGATCTGGTACACAGTGGCGCCAGTCCAGGAAGTAGAAGTAGAGGAAGTCTGGCTGCCATCGTCGTTGTGGATCTTCAGGCTTCCGTCAGGAAAGCGCATCATAGTGATCCGAATTGGATCAAGGTACTTGGGCTCGATGGGCACGTCCTTGTAGTCGTTGATGTTCATGGTGTTGCGTCGGGGTGCAATGTGGTGTCTGATCAAACACCCAGCACGCACTTCCCAAAAGTCATGCAACACATCCTTCAAAACGAAGGCACCATCAGAGTCCACATGCCATCCAGAAGGTAGATCATCACCTTGGATGTCCTCCACATTGAACACTTGAGAGTAGCTCTCATGAGGTTCACCAGCAGAAGCAGGCCTCGGATTTGGAGTAGAGGAAGTCGGCTCAGCTTCACCTGGATCAGCTCGATGTCGAGAGCGAGAGCGATGAGCTCTTGATCTGGAGGGTAATACCAAGGTTTCATGTCGTTCATGTTGTTGTCGTAGAAGTCGAAATCGGTCATTTGGGCCAGCTGGCTCATACATCGCCACCAGTGGCAGGGTCCAAAGGAGGCACTTGTGCCGGAGATCGCACTGAAGGTGGTCGTGATGGCTCCTCACTGGGCTCAGTTTCATCAGCAGTTGGAAGGTGTGGCCGTCGAGGCACATGTGCAGGAGGAGGCATCACTTCACCAGAGTCATCTTCCACCAAGATCGGCGGTCCACCAGGGTCTGCAGCACCAGACATCGTTCCAGCCGGAGGTAAGTCCAGGCCCTCCAAGTCCATGGCTGGATCAGTGTCATCCAAAGGTGTTGTTGGAGTTGGAGACACATCAAGGTCAGGCCGCTCCACGAAGTCCAAGTGTGGAGATAAGTCCAATCTCGGCCGTTGTCGAGGAGGTCCAGGAGCACCATCATCATCGTCAAAGAGCTCCTCTTCGTCGGACTGAACCTCTTCAATGTGCCTTTTGTTGGCACGCTGCAGATCCACAAAGCGGGTGACCCCTCGGGATTTCAGCTCAGAGACAACTCGGCGAGCTTCTTCCAAGCCACCAATGTTGGTGTCAGAGGCCACTCGGTAGTCGGCACGGACATGTTGAGGAGCACATCGAAGCAGCTGGGTCTGATGGGCGATCCAGTAGACGATCGGCTTTCCTTCGGCATCATCTTCACGAAGGATAACCCGAGCAGGGCCTTTCCATCTGACCTTCACCAAGTCAGCTGCACGTGCATCACGCCAGTACCAACAAATCTGGCCCGGCTGCAACAGCATGTTTGTGCCAGAGTAGCGCCTGAGAAGTGCTCGTCGAAGTCGTTGATCTTGGTCTGCCTTGATCAAGGCTACCTTGGCTGCTGAACGCTTCTCCAGGGTCTGCTCGAAGTTGGAGCCATCCAAGTGAGATGGATTCAGGCCTTCGCTGGTCAGGTCGCCAGCAAAGTCAGGCTGATAGCCTAGGACCCATTGGGTGGGAGAGTACCCCGCCACCGTTGGAGAAGAGTTCACCTGGGGCAGCACATAGGCCAAAGCTTGTCGAAGTCCATCAACATCTTTGAGACCACGATCGTTCATGTAGATCTCCACTGCCTTGCGTAGAACTTGGTGACGTCGTTCTATCGCACCCAAGCGTGTGTGGGCTTCTCCCGGTGCTACCGTGTGGAGAATGTTGAGCTCAGCCAGGAAGTCGATCATGTCCTCATGGAGCCAGCCACGTCCTTCATCTGTGATGAGCTCCTTCGGCATGCCAAAATGGCGGAACCATCCACGTTCCAGTGCCTTCTGGTAATTGGAAGCTTTCTCGGCCTTCACAACAGCTGCAGCTTGATACTTGGTCGCCAAGTCAATGAAGTGGACCACAGGGATCTTGTCCTTGTCCAGCTTAATCCACATCACATCGGCCTGCAGCTTCTCGTTGAAGTGTGAGGCTTGAGGAAGGGCAGCAGGAGCCGCAGTGTTGGGCTTCCGGTACCGTTCACAGGCACTGCAGTGAAATTCTCTGGCTACCTTGAGAACTTCTTCAGAAGCACCACGAGATTCCAAGAGCTCGATCAGGGCCTGTTTGGGAGGATGGCCCAAGTTCCTGTGCAGTCTTTGAACTGTTCTGACTGCTGCCTGCCTGTTGCCGCTGAGCAGCTTAATCAAAACTCCAGTCTGCTCGCGCTCTTCAGAGACCGCACCAGCAAAGTCATACAGTTGGGGAACCTCAGGCACCATCAAAGCCGCTGCCAAGATCGAGGCCATCGACGGCTGATAGCTTTCCATGTACCGAGTTCGAAGTCCAAGACCCGGTGCATGGCCTTCAAGTGCACAGTGTTGATGATCCCCTTGACATCGAAGTTGAAACTCCTTGTACACACTCATCTTGGTGGTCAACAGGCTGGTGGTCTTTCGAACAGGTTTCCAAAGTCCATCTCTGTCCAAACATTCACATCCATAGCGACACTGATCAAAAGTGCATCGAAAACCAGGCAGCTTGCTCAAGGAAGTGGTCTTCCATGAAAGAGCCGGTGCGGGCTGTTCCACGTGGGCGTGGCCACCTTGAAGAACTTGGGTCTCATAGACCTTTCTCACAAACTTCAAATGCACTGCATGATGCCATTCTCGAAGTTCTTGCAAGGATTCCTGCTGCTCCAAGGTCTTGGCGTTGAGGTTCTGCATGGGGCTCCCAGGGCCACAAGATGGTGCCAGCAGCACCTCATCTGGAACTTCTTCTTGAAGTCGTTGGAGGAACAACTTGCGGTGCTCTGCAAGGTCAAAGTCCCATCCAGTGGAGTATCCAAAGATCTCAACTTGGGCACCCAGGCTCTCCGCAATCTTGGAGACACGGCCTTCACTCGTGTAGACCTCCCAGATCACTCGAGGCTTCGGCTCAGCATGAAGTTCGGAGGTCACATAGCCATGGAGCTCGTTGTGGGCCTCACAGATGATCTGGTCGCAGGTTCGAAGTAGATGACGTGGAACAGGTAGTTCACCATCGGCATAGGTCTCGGCCGTGAGGTCGTCATCCACAGTGATGAAGGCAGATTCCTGTTTGCAGAAATCCTCATAGCCAACAGGTCGTGGATCCAGGTCGCCATCAGGAGCCAGTTGCAAGTCAAACTGGAGAGGCAAAGGCTTCGACCAGTCCACAGGTTCAGCAGGATCCCAAAGTCCAAGCAGGTATTCTCCATGTAGGCCGATTGTGGCTGGTCGCCAGGGTCCATTGCGCAGCTTGATCTGCTTCTTCTCGAAGTCCATCGTGATCCCCAGTGCCTCAATGATGGGGCGTCCACAAAGCAAAGGAGTTTCACCAGCCAACAAAAAGACTTGAGCTCGGCCATGGTTGCCACTGATGCACATTGGAAGTTCAACAGCCCAATGTGCCCAAGATTCACCATCACCTCCAAAATGAAACTTGTGCCTGCATCGGAAAAACTTCACATCAGCCACTAGGTAACCTTGTTGTCGGAGAAAGTCCAAATACCGACGAACAGGTCCATAGCCGCTGAGGTATGCTGAAGCTCCAGGATCCAGCATGGTGACATCTGGCCTCTCAGCGCCAGTCTGGTCCTGGAAGGTGACATGGGCGTTCTCCAGCATCGCCACGCTCTCAGTTGCAGCTCGCTTGGTTCCCTTTGGACTCGAACTGCCTTGGGACTTGCTTGGCATGGGGCAGTTCACGGCAAAGTGTCCAGGTTGTCCACAACGAAGACAAGTGAGTGCAGCTTTAGAGCGTCCTCGAGGGTCAGCAGGCTTCATGGGGCTTTTGGTGTAGTGGTAAGTTCCCGTCTTACCCTTGGAAGGCTTGCCCTTCGACTTTCCTTTCTTTCCCTTGGAGGACGGGCTACCAGCAGGTGATGTCACACCAGGGGCCAAGTTGCCAGCCGCAGGGTCATTCAAGGCGACCACAGGGAGGAATCCTCGAGCCAGCTTCAGGTCGGAGAAGCGACGTCGAGCATCCACATAGGCTGCATAGACCTCATCATAGGTGTCCACGTCCTGCAAGACAGTCTCAGATGGATCGCCAGTGGTCTCCTCGTACTGGTAGTAGGCGGCCTGAGCATCAAACTCATCAGCTTCATCCCATTCATCATCGTCGCCACCATAGTACGAAGGTGATCCATCATCGCCCTCATAGTAACCCCATTCATCAGTCCATTCATCCCCATAGTTGTTGTAGAGCTCTTCAGAGTCCGCCGCATCCACAGCCACATAGCCACGGTTTCGACCACCCTTTCCAAAGCCACGTCGGTCATGAAAACCAGCTTGAGTCGTGTGCTTGTAGTCCTGCCCAAGCACCAAGTACAGGGCTTCAGTGACCTTGGAGATCTCGAGCTGAGGTGCTCTCAGGGTGATCAACTGCTTCTGCTCCTTGGTGAGGTTGCAGCGTCGTAGAAGGTGCCAGCCCTGCACGGCATTGGGCAGGTCCACGCCATGCTTCGACAGGCGCTTCAGGTGCTCGTTGTGGAGCGTCACAAACTCCATCAAGGACTGCCCAGACCTCCTTGAAAGCCCAAAGTAGGCATCGAAGTCTGCCGGCAGCTGCACCCGGCTGTCGTACTCGAAGTGCTGGTCCAGGATCTTCAGAATGCCTTCAAAAGATCCTTCCTTCTCAGCTGTCGTCACGTCGAAGTCCTCCATCAAGCGCCAAGCAGCGCCAGTCAACGTGCTCACCAAGTTGATGACTGCTTCACCACGGCGATTGCTCAGAGCCATCTTTGCATGGTACAGCTGTATCCTTTTCCTCCATTCTCGATAGTCAGCCGGCTGTCCCGTGAACACAGGGATATAGGAGTCGCGCTGTGTAGGGCTCTCCGGTGATGTAGCGGCAGTTGACATTCCTTAGGAAGTCCTTACCTTCGAATTCAGTGATCCAAATCAGGTGCTGGAAGGTCTGATGGCCGTTGGTATACTGTAAGAGGTCCAGCACTTGGATCAGCGCAGCAAGGGCCAGCAGATCGCTGGCTCCGCTACCAATGCAAAAGCTTAGGTAGCACCAACCCAAGCAGCTCCCAGCCGCACGAAGTGCTGAGATGCAACAGCGACAGTCGCCTTTTCAGGCATGCGTAGCCATCACGGTCGTTCGCGCCCACCCTGGGCCATATGTTGGCGGGTCAGCCGTGTGAGACATGAACATGGGAAAAGGTGCAAGGAATGCAACTTCACAACATCTAATTATCAATAATCTTTACTATACTATACCTACTGCCATTAAGCGATAGTACAATACCTAAAAGAGTATTGACCCTTTAGTATCCTTTAGTATACAGTAACATCTGATAATGTTACTATATATTTACTATCTGGTTATTTAACATAGCCATGAAAAATCACCATGTTTAATAAGTAAATTAAATACCCAGAGGGTATATGTTATTCACCCATACCCTTACTGCAATAAAAATCCCTTGCCCATGGTCCGCCCCTCCCCAGTCGTTGCCACATCGAACAACGCCGAGGCTCCAGTTGCTTGGTAAGGCGCCGGCAGGAATTGTTGCTCACTTGCAGATCCAGAACCAAATCCTCGATGGTTTACCCTCTGGTTATGTCAAAATAGCTATTGAAAATGGCCAGTTATAGTGGATTTTCCAATTAAAAATGATGATTTTCCATAGTTATGTTAAATTACCAGAGGGTAACCACAAGAGATGGTAAAAACCAAGCGGAATGGGGATGTCATGGGACATTACAAGGGGACTTGGAGGTGCAGTTGGAGTTATTGCTGTGGATAACTATGGTGATACTGCTCATTTTTGTTGGGACACGGGCCCCCTACAACTATGGTTATATAATGTTATATAATTATAACTGGAACTGCCCCCCCCAAAGCATGGGTGTGTCTGTAAATGATTTTTAGGCCGCCCAAACATAATTGTGCTAAATCTTTTTTTCCCTCATGCTGCAAGAAGGTCTCGCTTGGTACATGACTGTAAGATACTGTAAGCAACTCTACAGGCCCTAATGGTCGGGCTGTCCGACATCCCAAGGGCACAAAATCTCACTGGACAACACTTCTTTACAGCGTCCAGCATCAAAAGTGTTCATTGCAAATTGAATTACAGCATCAGCTAGCGCATGGAACACATTATTCCTGCTTCATATGTTTATTGAATGTATAGTCGTTAAAGCATTTAAAGCATGGGTCACTGATCACTGACACTCAAATCCTGGCCTTCCCCTTGCCGCCATCTCCACTCGCCAAGGCCTTCTGCGCGCGTGCTTTCTTCAGCAACTCTCGGCATGTCTGTTCGACAACTTTGCCAATCCACGTGGTCATGACATCTGTCACGTGAGCGTCAACATGCTGGAAACCAACAGTCTCCTGGATCATAGATTTCACTTTGACCTCGTCCTCCCATTTCCATGCTTCTGCTCTGGCCGAATCCACCTGGCTCAGCGCATCGATCACTCTGTCAATCCCTTCAGAGCCCGATGCGATCTCACGCTGCAACTGGTTCGCCGTGGCCTTCGGCATGACGAACATGACCTCGATTTGAATTGTGGAAGCAACAAACTGTTCATAGACCGTCCAAATGCGAGTCAGGTACACGGGTCGCTCCCATGTATCCAAAATGGCAACCATTTTGCCAATTCGCTTCAAGTTGTCTTGGAAAACCGTGTCGAGATTGTCGCTGCCCGCAGCAGTCTGATCCAAAAGGATTCGGAATTGGTTGTTCACGAAAAAGCAGACGTAGAAATAGCAAGGCCTCACCAAACCGTCTCCAAACATCTGCAATGCGCTTTGCACCTGCTGGACCTTGTATTTCCACGTCCAGCTCATAAAGTGGGTTTGCTCTCTGCGATGCTCCCGTGGGATCCAGTCCACCAAAGCGCATCCCGCCTTTCCATCCCGCGGGCAGATGATCTCTTGGCCGATTGGCTGCTCTGAAAACCAAAATGCTGTTTTGAGGTCCAGAAAGGTTGGGTCATCTTTGCCGCTGCGATCCACTGCCAGCTGCAGAAAATCTCCTGAAAGGAGATATCCGATGCTCACGCCGGCTCTTTCGCTCTGCAGAGCGCGCATCTCGCACAATTTCTGTTGTATTTGAGCTTTTTGCAGGCCAAGACTTACCAACTTCTCTGTGTATGTGGCCACCGTGGCAGGCCCTTCATCCCACAACTCGTCATAGACTTCTTCCATGACGAAGGCAATCTTCTTTCCTCGTTTGATTGCTCGTTTGGAACAGAGACAGCGAGACAGGAAACGAACAGCGGCCGCCAAAACGAACAAAGTGATCGCCACAACAGGCAAGTGCCACCAGACGCAGTCATTGTCCACCAAGATCAATGGCAAGTCGCATATCAGACAGCTGTCCCCTCCCGCAGAGTACTGGAGCCCTTGGCAATCTCTACATGTGCTGCGGTCTTCGGAGGGTACCGAACCTGGTGGGCATCCTTGACAAGACTTGCCATTGGAGTATTGCCCCACCCCACACTGCTCGCACATGAGGAGATTTTTTCCAGGAGCTCTACCCGGATCGCAGGGTGGCAGGAGGGCATGGTGTATCTGATCTTTGTATTCCAGGGCAGATGTATTCCATGAACCAATCGGCTGGTCGAAAGCCGTGGCAGCGAAAAACATGGAGTCCATGGTGGTCACTGCAGAGGCATCCCAGTTACCGATTGGCTGATTAAACGCATCAGCCCCGTGGAACATATACTCCATGTTGGTCACTGCAGAGGTATCCCAGTTACCGATTGGCTGGTTGAAGGCTTCGGTCCAATCGAACATCTTCCTCATGCTGGTCACCGTGGAGGTGTTCCAATAATTCAATGGTTGGTTGAAGGCCCTGGCACCTTCAAACATGCTCTCCATGGTGGTCACTGCAGAAGTGTCCCAGGAACCAATTCGCTGGTTGAACGCATAGGTACCGTAGAACATGTATGCCATGTCTACCACCGCAGAGGTGTTCCAAGCTCGAATGTCTTCATTGAACGACCTGTCTTGAAAAAACAATTTTCTCATGCTGGTCACCTTCGACACATCCCAGCTTTCAATGGGGCCATATTTGGAGGTCAGTCGAATTCTCTCGAACCGCCAATCTTGGACAGCCTCTTTTAGCTCGCTTCTATTTTGGAAGGGTGTGCCAGCGCAGCTTGGCATCAACATAAGCAACGGCAGGAGCAGCGGCCATGGCGACAGCATGCGCCGTGGATCCCAAAACATGGGTGAAAAAATGATGGTTACAATCATCCAAGGCAGGCATGGACCAGTAACACGTCTATCTTTGAAGCAAGAAGCTGATGCACTGATGGTTCTGAAAGGGAGCTCACTTGCTCTATCTAATTCTCCGTAGGTTTCTGCTCAAATCAAGTCTCAGTTTTGGGCTTCAAATGGCTTCAGGCTAAAAAAATATAGACCTTGCCTCACCCCACATCACATTCTGGAAATTCGTGTGCGACCTGTTCCCTTTTAAGTATCCACTTGTTGGTTCAAGCAATTCCCAGCCCCGTTCTACAACATACGCCCTCATTTCCAGGGCACCTCTCGCTTGTTTTGTAGATCCATGGCAGTGCGGGTGTACATCTGGCGCTCTTGGAGATAGGTGTGATAGGTGATCAGCTTACCTTGGCGAGGTAAGGCGAAAGTGCCATGGGAAGATACTTACCGCTTGGTTTATCCTCCGGTAGTCAATGGGAAGATCAATTACGGGCTGGATTTGCAATCCGCGGAATATAATCTTTAAAACTTTATCATTAAGTATACCTTTCTTATTTTCTTATCATATAATGGACATGTTCAGCAGGGTCTTTCCCGGACACCAGGTTAGATTGCCCGATGGTGTAGGGTTTGGTTTCCGATTTTCCGATGAGACATCTCTCACATAGAATGATACCTTGCAGCTTTGATTTCAATACGCGCATCTCTAGAGGTTTTCTCCAGAATTTTGACCAACGCGTCCAACCAGCTTCGGCATTGACCGACTGGGGGTTGCTACAATACATATATATATACGTGTAACATATATATATATAGATATGTATTCTAACTTTTACAACAAGTATATCATAATATATAGATATTATATACAATATATTAAAATGCCATATAGATATATAATGATATGCAAATGTGACTTTCTAACTATAAACTTGCATGCGGAGCAGGAACAACGGTGGTGACCAGCATGGTGAGCAGTGGCAGATCAACGTCTTAAACGTACAAAAAGATGTGGAAAAACATGGTTTTCCGTTCGGAACATGGTCATCTGATCTACTTTTTCATGGTGGGAAAAAGCCACATCGAACGTGGTCAAAATATGTAAAAATCCTGTTGCCAACAGTTACCCCATTGGTGGAAGACGTTTCCTGGGACCTGCACAAGCTGCGCAACGCAACCAGCGCGCTTCGACAAAACCACGGCGCTGTCGCAGCGGTTCTCCACCGCGAAGATCATCCAGTGCCGGAATGGAGCCACCAGGTCGCCTCGGGAACGAATGGTTATGACTAACATAGCCATGGTATAGCATGGTCCGTGGAAATAGATGGTTTACGGTTTACCTATTAAAAATGGGTGGATTTTCCATGGCTATGTGAAATAAGCAGATGGTAATGATCTACTGATCTACTCTATTGAGTGGTTCACTACTGATAAATGTGCTTGACATGCTTCTACTACATTTCAATGGTGATTTTACAATTTTGACCATTGTTGGCACAAAACATAAGCCCAACAGTGGTGGTTTGCGTATTATTCTTAATTATCAAATACTGTAATTATCATTGTTCAGTATTTCTTCACTATGACTTTGTTGATGCGGTTTTCACCCAATTCCACAAGCCTCCAGTAATTGTTTATGTATTACTATTACCCTCTGCTGATCTAACATATCTCTTGAAAATGGCCCAGTGAGAACCTATCAATGGTGATGTCCATATAGCGATGTTCAATCACCAGAAAGTATTCTCAACTGGGTATGGGTCAATACCTATAGATACATTTTTAGTGGGATGAACATCCATTTACCAGCTATTTTGGGGTTCACTAGGTACCAGGGTTTTGACCCATCCCCAACTATAATTACATTGTTTTTTTCATGTTTATTGCAGTTTATTGTCACTATGACTTTGTTGATGTGGGATTCACCATGATTCACCCAATGCCGCATTGAACCTCCAATCACGGAGGGTTTACACAACCCATGTCTGCTGCGAACTGGGAATGGTTTATCATAAGGTTTACCACATTATATGTGGATACATATATATATATTTATTAATAATATATTAATTTTAATATATTAATATTATATATATAATATAATATAATATATATATATATAATATATATAATATATATAATATATATAATATATATAATATATATAATATATATATAATATATATAATATATATAATATATATAATATATATAATATATATAATATATAATATATAATATATATATATATTGTATTACTGTAGGAACTTTGCAAACAAGGTGGAATAAACCATAGGTCTATATACATTCGATATCAGTTCCGGGCCTCCCCCCGTGATCAGCAAACTGTTGGGATTCCCTCTCCAGTCCTCATGGCTGACGCCGTTTCAGGCGTCATTGGGAGAATTCCCCGAATCCGAAGCATCATGAAAAGTGAGGGAGAAGAGTGAGGTCGTTATAATTTACCCAGATAGATACACTATATCTATATTTACTATACATAATTATATATATAACTATATATATATATATGTACTGTATGTGTATATATATATATGCTATATAATTATGCTATATATGTGTAGGCATATTATTCATCTCGCTGTACATCTTTTCAGCTCCAATCCTCCACGGCACCGATCAAGGTCCGCGTCAGCAGCTCGCCCTTCTTGCGCCGGCGCCGCAGGAGCTGCGCGTGCACCAACTTCCAAACGCCCCAGAGCCAGATCAAGGAGGAACTCCTTGGACCGTCTGGGGCCGTGGAAATTTCAGAAGGCGCCCTAGGGTAAGGTGCTGCCCCCTAGTTCGATAGCGTTCAGTTGGTGAACATAACTCCAATCACTATTGTTTATCTATGGTTTATAGGTGATATATCTATAATGGTGTTTATGATAGCGTTCAGTTGGGGTTCACATAACTCCAATTTCACTATGGTTTTTGTTGGTGATATATCGAACTAGTTAATGGGGTTTATGAACCAATTTTTATAACGTTTGGGGGGCACCACCTTGTAGGGTAAGCAATGGTAAAACAATCGTAAACATTGTGGAAATTGATGGAAATTCATGGCGTAAACCCGAAAAACTGTGGAAAAGCTGCTGGAAAACCCAGGAAACATATGGCAAAAGCTGTGGAAAAGCTGATGACCCATGGATGATATTTTCCTGTTTGGACAATGTTCTACTTTCAGAAAGTGGCTTTTCCACATCGTTAGTTTACAGGAGGGTGGTAGATTAATTGTACCCATATGCTCCATGGTGCTGGAACATTCATCACCATTTAGCCAAAACATCACCCAGTTTTGTAGGTAAACAAAAACCATCTGGATCCATCTGGGGCAAATGTTGGCTTAGCGGATCCATCTATGCCAATGGAGATCAAACATGGCTGGGAAATCCGACCCTTGGCGAAATGTGAACATCATCGAACGAAGTTGGGTTTTTCCAGCAAACCATGTTTAATTACCAAAAGATACCAAGGGGTCGGCGTTTTTGCTCTTGGTAAAACATTGAACAAAATTTGCTGATCTCCTTTGGTTCGGGGGCACCAATACACAATCACAGTTTGACCCGTTTTTAGATCCAAAACCTCCAGATCCGACACGAAAAAGTGCCATCGATCATCAAGATACCATCATATGGTTAATAATAGGATCCCCGTTCAGATTGGACCCGAGGGGTTGGGAGCCCCATTTTGTAGCTACAGAACGGCGTCCCCAAGGTGCCCTTCTTACAAGTTGGCAGAACCCAACGTTCACCGAGGAAGGTTTTTGTTACAAAATGGCAGTCCAAGCTAACCCCTAGTTACAAAATGAGTCACCGATTTTGCTCGACTCGCATCCGCTCGCATCCGTTGGCTCGATTTGCCCTTTACAGAATGGTGGGGACTGGGGGTGGCTATACTCGCACTATCCTAGGATCCCTGGGAAGTAAGCTGCAACAGCCCGGCCAGCCCGAGTCGCGGTTCATTTTTTCCGTTCTTTTGCGTTCATCCGTCTGTTTTGGCGTGACGCTGTCTGAGTG